TTCACATCCTCTTGCACTTCTTCCTTCATCCTCTTGTGGACATTCATCCGAGCATCCATCACCTGCTCTTGCCCACAATTGCCACAGAATCGCTGCTGCTCTGGGACCGGCCACTTGCATCGGGGACAGTGGCCTGGCGGTGGAGTCTCATCCTGTCCCGTCATGAAGGTGAAATGCACCGTCTGAGCTGGTCTCTTGGTGTTGGATGGTACATGTGGTTGATCTCGACCGCTCAGAACATTTGGGCAGCATGCATCACCTTTCCAGTGTCCCATCTTTCCACATGATGAGCAGCTGCTTGTCTTCTTCTTAAGGTCAACTGACCGTCCCCCTTTTCCTTCTTGGCCTTTGGCTTCCTTCTGTGGGTTCTTCCAGCCTCGATTCTTCCGGACCTCCGCTGTTCTTTGTTTCGCCTTCCATCCTGCAGCAAACACTTCTTTCATCTCTTCAGCGTCCCAACTTCCTTCATCATCTTCGAGATCTCCGTCTTCTTCTTCAAGGCCTTCCGCATCCTCCTCAAACAGGATGTCCATTGCCTCTTCTTCACCTTCCGGGATCTCTGCTTCATCCTCCTGCTCTTCTCCTCCTTCGGGATCTCCTTCTGCAGCGAGATGAGCTCCATGGTACTTCTTGACGCTGACCTTCTTCTTGTAGAATTGTTGTCCCTTCGGGCGAGGTGTCGGGCCTCGATCTTCTGAGAACTTGAAGCTTCCTCTCTTTTCATCTTCATGGATTCTGCTGCAACGGATGCGAAGTGCCTTCTCAATTGCTGAGCTCTGGAATCCTGCACCTGCGGCATAGTAGACATCGTGTCTTTCTCTTCTGGACAATGATGCTCTCTGCAACAACTTCTGTCCCCATGCCATGTCAGAGATCTTTGACTCGGGATCCACACGACTATACTGAGCCCTCAATCTCTTCATCTCCGACAGGTAATGTGCAATCGTTTCACCAGGCTGTCGTCTGCACTTCTCCAACTCCTTGTCTACCCGCTCAAACAGCTCTGCATCCGACTCCTCGAAGGCTTCGTCCAGCACCCTCCACAACAATTGCAAGCCTCCAGCTTCAGTGTATGACTGGATGGGGTGTTGTTCCACAACATCTCGGGCCTCACGACGTGTCGACAAATAAATCAACATTGCCAACTCATTGCCCTCCAGTGCATACAAATGCTGTTGTGCCTGAATTGTGCGCTTCCACTTCAAATACCGTGTCCTGTCCCCCCCAGAACTCTTCGACCTTCACTGACCCCAAGGAACTCTTCGGCCTATACCCGTCTTCCTGTTTCAACCTTCTCTTCAACATAGACCGAATCTCTGAGGTCGCTGCAGAAGACTGTTGTGAGGCTTCTTCCATGTCCTCTGGGTCTGATCCTGTCGGTTCAGAAGGTCCTGGTGGTCCTGCCGGCATTGACTTCTTCTTTGATGGCTTAGGAAGCTTGGGAGGTAGCTCTCTGGCTGGGTCACTTGTTCCGGTCATACCTACCGGCATCATTCCAGGTCCTGGCCAAGTCATGGGATAGCCAGTCATGGGCCATGTTGGCATGGTGCTCATGCCTGAGGCTTGCATGGTCGGTGGTCCGAACATGCTAGGCTGCATACCTCCTGTTGGCAACACAGGAGGTGTTTGGAACATGGGATGCATGCTTGGCGGTGGTGTGGGCATGTGGTGCGGAACATTGCATCCACACCCTGGGCCATAGGAGATGGGTGACCCCCATGGTTGTTGCATGCCTCCTGGCAACTGTTCCAATCCCGGAGCTGGATGGGTCCATGTTGTCGCTGGTCCAGTGGCTGTCATCATTGGGGTGTTGGGACTGTTGTTCCCATTGCCGGCATAGGCATTCATCGGGTTTCCATTGGGTGTTGAGGGTTCCACAACAACAGGTCTTTCCGCTTGTTCACCCTTCTCACCCTTGTTACCTTTGCCTTTGCCCTTCCGTTGCCAAGCATCACCAGGCCTCATAGCTTGTGACACAGAGCCCGTCTCTGTGCCCTTGCCAGGCCCTGTTGAGCCCTTTCCCCCATGTCCTGACTGCTCTCGCCACGGGTCCTGACCTTGCTGCCAGGGGTCCTCTTCTGGAAGAGGTGTGGCTGCCGCATGATCCACCGCTTCTCCATGTGGCACCTCCGCAGGAGGTGCTGCAGCTGGCGCAGCTGCTCCATCGCCATGCGGGTTCATCGTCATGGCTCACTCAAGAGGGCGAGGTTGAATGTGCGATTCCCCCTTACCGCCCCTCAGGGGCTCCGCTACCAATGTGCAGATTGCTGTAGGGGCGCCACTCCCTAAAACAAAGGGGTTCCAAAGGGTAACCAACCAAGGCGCTCAAATGAATGCAAATGTGTATGCGACACGCAAGCTCAAGCAAAGCTTTTCTAGCGCGTGCGGTCATCGATGCCTGTTTGAGGCGGCGTCCAAAAGCATGCGAATCAAATCAAATGCGACATTCCAAGAAAGCCACCACCATACTTCTCACACATGGACCATGGATCGCCAGAATGGACCAGGTTGGTCAAACGAAAGAGCTCACCACCGCAAGCACTTTCCTCACTTGTGTGATGACACATAGTTTCCCCAGAAACAAGCAAGAACTACGAACATAAGGCGTGAACCGTCCATGGTGGCTTTGCTGGGAACTACTCCATCTCTCTGCCTTTTCTCCAAGCTGCTTCACGGCACACTTGAAGGACTCAATCCTGAGCGCATCAGTTGAGGAGATTTACGCAGATCGGCAGGGCTTAGCACCCAACTGGGGCCTCTCAAGAAATCTACAGAAGTAGGTCTGGCGTCACCCAACCGGTGGCCGTGGATCCAGTTCTGAAAGAATGAGGGACCCAGAAGCTGACGAGTGCGCACGGTTTTGACTCTCCTTGACTCCTTGACTGAAACACCGATTCTCCCGCCATATCACATGGAATGACATGAGGGCCAAGGTTCCAATGGGAGTCCAGAGTGCCAATGTTGATGGAGACTGCCCCCTCCGCGGCCTTCACTTTGCTAATCGCCTCAAGCCAGTGCAGGGTCGGAGGGTCAGAGGGTCAGAGGGTCAGAGGGTCAGGTAGACTTGGGACCAGTGAAGACCAGTGAAGATCACATGTTCTTCTCAGAAAATCCATTGAGAGACTTGGAATATATGGTCATACCGCCTTCTCACCTCGGGGAGACGAGTCCAAACCGGACACCGTGCCACAGCGACCCTTCATCCGTCGGACACCGCGTCGACCGCTGACAGAGAGAGGGAGAGTCAGTCGTGATCCATCGCAGCATCGAGGGAGCCAACGATGTTTAAGCGTTCAACACATCCCTGCCCGATCCAAGCAGTGTGCATAGGGGTCTCCCAACCAGTGGATTCTGCGTCTGCAGGCGCTTTCCGGGCATGTTTGCCTCCCTCTAATTTGATATACACACCCGCTTACACAACCCTTATGGTACGGATGGATTCCCATTTTCCCCTTCCCGACTGAGCTGCCACGTCGAGCTCCTCCACGGAATGGACCATCGCCGGGTGTGCGCCCAGCGCCAAAAGGCCATTGGCCATGAAGTCCATGGAAACCTCGGCGAACTAGGCCAAAACGAGAAAGCCGAGAAACCCCGAGTGGTGAGGCTGAAACGAGACATCGCATGAGCCGAGAATCAGGCACTGAGTCGAAAGCATCGGTAGAGACGTCGGGGGGGGAGAGGTTCCCGCAGTCTCCAGGCTTGACCAGAGTCGGCAAGATGGGGCTGGGAGTGGTTTTGATCCCAGAGACCTGCAGAAATGAAATGGAAATTCACAGAGCTACAACAGAATCATGACATCTCACCAAGCCCATGGATTGGGTAGTCAGCACAGGCGGGTCAGTTTCGCTTGTTCACCCCCAAATGGGTTCGAAAAAGATTCGATCTTCCCCTTTGAAGCATCCACACCATCGAGCAAACCCATGCTACAGGCGATGCCTTCGCCAGGGATGTTAGGAAACACTATCAAATTTGACCAGATCTGCTGAGCTCCAAAACAGAATAGGGGGTCGCATGAAACGGTAACATGTGCTTCCAAAGAAACCACTCACCATCTCACGCAACATGTCCGCACCCCATGCGTGTCGTATGTCCTGCATCTGCTGCCATCGCAGCCGAGGAACATAGTTGGTCAGGCACTGGATCAGCGGGCCCTTGGCCTCGCGAGAAAACACGCAGCCGCGTCCGAAGCAAACGCTTCGACGGTCGTGGGCGTCCGGACGGTCGCGTTCGTTTGGAGAGCGGAGAGCTTTCCGCCCGTAAAGGTCACCCCCTTTGGCCGCACGTCCCGACGTGCGCATTTCAGCGCCACACGAGCGAACCGGGACGAAGATCCGGGTGGCCTTGACAGCCTGGACGATCTCCTGCAATCGCTCCACCGAGCCGTTTTCATCCATGGCGGTCGGCGTCTTGGTTCAGCTCTCCAAGCGCGGGCCGAGGGCCGACGAGGCCTTTCTAAGGCCGGGGTTTTGGCAGGGGAAAAAGGACTGAGCACTGGTGCTGGGGCAAGCGCAGTCCCCAGGTCTTCTTCGCGCATGGCTGATGGGGAAGTGCTGTGGGTCGGAACTCCAGATATAATCTCGGGTCTTTGGTTCTGAATGGCTGTGAAGAGGAGCAACAGTCAGTCAAAACTCCTTGCAAATGATAATGTCTGCAACTGCTTGTGTCTGTTTTGTGCTAGAGCTGCGATCGGTGCAATGGGACAAAAGAAGCGGCGGTCGGTGCAATGGGCGAATCCAGGGTAGAAGTCCGTCTTCAAAAGATTTGTGCCAAAACGCCCCTCTGCAACATCTCAGGGCAATGATGCAAATGGGCTCTCACCAAACATGCAAATAAAAAATCCCGGGCGGTTCATGGATTTTGAGTGAGTTAGACAGTTAGACCGACCCCTGTATTAGAGCAAGAAATCTTGAACATTCCTCCAAGTGGAGGAAGAGTATTCACCATCAATTCGATCTTCTTCAGCCCTGGAACGCCCGTTTTCGGAACATGCCGGATGGCACTTGTACTCACCAGAGACTCGCCCGCGCCTGCGAGAGGAGAACGTTGGGGGCACTGTAACGAACGGCACCAGTTTCGGGGAAACGAGCGGCAGGTTCAGATGCCAAACTTCGATGAGGGGATTGGAGTGGTAGGTGGTTTTGAACTTCCAGATGGTGGGACAGAGATAAACTCGAAAGTGTTCTTCCCTTAAGGCTTGCACCTTCCGGAAGAGAGGGTGCAGCTTCCTAGACTGGTGGAGGTTCCTGGAGATTGTTTCTCATCTTCTAGACTCTCGACTCTGCATGGAGACCTTACTGTACATAAATCCATGCAAGCGAATCGCTTCATCAGTTTCTCAACCCCAAATGCTGGGCACGAATGGGAACCCTGAATCCCGTGAAGCAAAAATGCCCGGGTCGATTCCTCTGGCGCCTAAAAAAAGAAAACCAAGGAGGCTCAAGTCCACCCTGGAATCCACCCTGGGGTGGGGGGCGTTTTCATGCATTTTCCCAGGTTCTCCCAAGGAATTGGCGAAGAAAATGGAGTCCTGGATTCGAACCTCAAACCGCACGAGTGGGTTCAGAGCCTTGTGGAATCTCAACCTCAAACCGCACGAGTGTAGGATTGGAATCCACTTAAAGGAATCAAACCATCTATAGTATCTACATGTAAACCAAGGAGCAAGGGAAAAATGTGCTTGCGCTGCTCCACAGCGCGAATTGATCGGGTCTTTGGAGGAGTCCATGCTCTATACCTTGAGAGGTTTGGCGGCTCCTCCGCTCCTCTCCGCTCCTCCGCTCCGCTCCTCCGCTCCGCTCCGCGCCTCTGCGGTCCTTCTGCTCCCAAGAGCTGTGAAGCTTGATCCTCAATCCACGCGGGGCTTGGACGCTTCCGGCGCGTGCCGATTCCTGGCTGGGTATGGCCCATATGGCCGGTTCTTCCGGCCGGCGGGCCGAAGGGGGTTTCTTCTGAACCGATGCGTCAGCATGAGAGAGCATCCGGAAGTGGAAGTGGACAACTCCCTAACAAAGACCACCGACCTCTGGTTCAGCTTGGTCTTGTGTAGTGGCATTTGCTCATTGACGCCCAACGAAAGTCAAGGGCTCTTCGTGCCCAGTGCCACCCACGTCTTTAAACACTATAGTCTGCTCAAGCGTGGCCACGTTGTAGGCTTAGGTGGTTTTCGCTCCTGGCGCAGCATTGGCTGTCCATCTGATTGATCCTCTGGATCTTCATGATCGTGATCTGTATGTCTTGCCTGTTCTCCAGACAAAACCCGAAATCTTCAAAGAACCATCTGAACCCCCAACGTCGATCTCGATTCTTGGTTCACTTGAACACTAAACCATAGAAATCTGAGAGCTGTGGCAGTTAATCAGAGCACTTGAGTGTTCTTATCTTCTCCCAAATCTCTGGTCGTGGCGGGCCACCGGTGGCACATCATATGCCACCGATTCTGCATCTTTCGACCCAAAACCCAGCTCGAGCCGTTGGCCATCTTTAGCCCCAGTTGCTCGGAGCGACTCCCCCAAAGCCTGGCAACAGCCGGCAGCGGTTGTGTTGGCTGGAGGGAAGACCGAACAGGCACCGAATTCATGGTATACGGGTGCATGTGATTCATCGGAGTTCCAAAACTTACAACTTCAAACTCGCCCCTATAGCTTTAAAAGTAGAGGGCGGTGCTTCAACTTCAGAGGGACCCTCTTCAAATTCCAAGCTTCTTTCTGTCGGGACTTGACAGGCCTCTCGGTCCCACCCTGACACGCCTAACTTCCACCGTTCTTTGGCTCCATGGAGAATTGCACGCGGATCGTTCGGGGCGTTGGTGGATTAATGTCCTGTGATTTTTGTTGTGTATCCCCACCATGGCACGACCACTTGAGGACCAACCGCCATATATGGCTTCTAGAGAACATCACTGCCCCTGCTGGGTGTTTGGACCCCCAAAATGACGCTCTGAAGACTATTGCGTTTACAAAAGCAACCTGTTGCTCCATGCTCCTTCAGGACCGGGTCCAATTGCTTTTGGAAAACTCTGCAGGACCGGCACGCGGCTCCACCAAGTTCTGCCTCCAAAACACCCCGTATGTTGCTCCGTTTTTTCGGTCCAACTCCACAAAAGACCACTACTTGCGCACTTTCGACCACCTCCCCACCACCATCGACAATGCTTTGGCCTTTCCTGCATAGCTTCACACGACCAACAAACACGAAAGCACTGTCAATTGTAAATGACAAAGTTTTGTCATACTCCAACCAACCGACAAACGGCCCTGGCTAGTTCGGGATGCAATAAAAGCTAGTCTAAACTGTGGCATCACTCCGAGGTGGTCATACAGGTACCAACAGAGGTTGAAGGACCCTATAGACAATCCCATAGGTAACTGAACCTCTCTTGGTATAGTTTGGCCACAAGCTTTCCCCCAGCAGTCTCTGGGCTCACCCTTTCCAAAATGCCCCATTTGCAAGAGAGATTCGACCGGCTATGTAACGACAGGAGGCCACCGCAATTCACCCTGGAGGCCACCACCTTGTCCACTCCCTTCGGTTTGCCTCGAAGTGGCCAGCGCCTGGGTCCCCCGGTCGAGCACGGTGGAGAAGGGAAGAAGGACTAAGAAGAAAGGTCCAATGGTGACGATGGGATGATCAAACAACTCAGCACGTGTCTACAGGTCCTTGTGATTTACAGTGGTTTCAGCGTAGATGACCCTGTCCTAGACAGATGGGCATCCATAGAAACCACCGACATTGGGGTGCCATCTACTTCTTCTCAATCTGTCAGAGCTCTTCGGTCTGTTTATCTTCTTGTTTACCCTGGAAACAGAAAGCTTAACGTTCACAACCTCATCTCAAACTCTTTCCTCAGTTTTGTGAACAGGATCAAAGGGTTTTTGGACCAGGTCACCATTTAGTGGCCTTCTAGCTTCTATCTCTAACAATTCTGCGGTCCGGTCATGCTGCGCCGTGCTCCAACGATCTCTGACTATGGGAAGAATCGCCTTTTTCTAAGGATGCGCGACGACAGGCTGGGCCCTCAAAAAACTGAGGCCAGTGCAGTCAAAAATCTCCTGACCCTGAGGATCCCAAGAATCATTCAGGCTTCAAGGCAGTGAATCTTGAGGGTACCAAGATTCAAACCCTCTCCAAACGGTCCAAGCCCCCAGCAGGAATGTGTTTCAGAATTCTCAGGGTCATCCTACAGTCACAAAACTTTGGAAGAGCTAAGATGTCTATAGGTGGGCAGAGGCCCATACATCGTGTGCGCATTGGGCCAGTAAGCAGACGGAAAATGTCGAAATTGACCTAGACTAAGAAAAGATAAGAAAAGCAATGCGGCATCTCACACCTCAATCATATATTCAATCGGTCAGATATTCTTATCGAGGTCCCGCCCTGACCGCTTTCGACGTCTGTCTGCTCACCCCTGAGAAATCCAGGGACATTCACGTTCCAAACGAATGTGGCCCTCGATCGGCGATCGCAGCCGAGGGAAAATGAGCGGCGATTCAGGGTGAATGACCTCGGGGGAGGTCTGAATACATCAACGCTTTTCGGCCGAAACTTGACCTGCAGACGCCCTAGAAAGCACAGGAAGCATCTCCAGACGCACTGGTCAGTCAAACGCCACTCCGCTTCTGTGATGATTTGGAAAGAGGGGGAATGCCTTCGGCATTTAAAAAAGGACTGGACCACAGAAGCTCACTGTGAAGATCGTCCAAAATGCAAACCGACACATTTGTGAAGCCAAACACTCAGGTTGACGAAAATAAGGCGAACTGCACGTGCACTCCACAGTGCCTATGCTTCGATGGACACATCGAATCCGAGCTGCACTTCATGGTGAGTGCTGACCCTTTGAATGGCGGAACGAGGCTGGAACGGCTCTCCCTTCTGTGTCCAAAGGATTTGATCCAAACAGATACGTTTCATAACAACCCCAAAAACTGAACGAGAACTGCTCCAGCTGTGTTCGGCTCCACGCCACTGGCCGGCTGCTTCGAGTGAACGGCACCCCCATCTTTCTCCCATCGAGGTGGGAAAAAATGGAGGAAAACTGCTCCAAGACCGATGGAATTGGGATGGCTAAGAGGGTCCAGTTTTCAACGCCTGTCCATGTTTGTTAAAGATGCATCAAGCCAAGGGTTTCTGCGCCTTTGAGACCTCCTGCGGTTCCCGCACTGAACCGGTCCCTCCTACCCATCCTTCCGCTCTCGGCGACTGCGCCCGGCTGAATCCGTCAGAGGTTGGAGCGGCCAGTGAGGTGGCTTTCCGGCGGAAAGAGGATCTGGGCGAAGTCCAGAAAGGACAAGTCACCTCACAACGGTGGGCAAAGTCCAGAGTTGGGGTGACGGAGTGGTTAGTACCGATGTAGTCGTGTTCGTGTGGAGGGTGGGAGAACTAGAAACATGATGAAACATCCATCAAAGGTGATCCAAGCAGCGCCGAAACGTTCACAGTTCCTCACTGTTCGCAACCTCTCCTTCACCTCTCCGTTTCCAAACTCCCCTTTGAGGACTCGGCCACTCCAAGCCTTAGCTGCTTGGGATGCCCGGTGCTCGGCCCGGCATGGCATCGAACGTCCGTCATGGCCGTTTGGCCAAGAGCAGAAGGTTAATGGTTGGTGGTGTAACAGATCCCGCGCAACAGACCCAACGCTTTTCGTCAAGCAAGCTATGAAAAGCTCCAACAACTCACGGCCAGGGCACGTGGATCTCCAGCAGCAGCTCATCAATCTCCTTCAAGAAAGAAGATACCCTGGTACCCTTGGGCAATTCTATTTTAACCATCAGAGATGATTCCATTGAAGACATCCAAGAACCAGGGGGCCACAGGTATGTCCAACTGTGCACCAGACTCCTGAACATGATTTTGGAGTAGTTTTTCGGTCTAGAGTCTAGATCCAGATGTCCAACCACTGGGCGTTTGGACATGACATGGAAACTTCAAGTTCCCCCATCACCCTGAACGAAAAAAACACCCAACACCCCGTTCTCCAAAAATAAAACGGTTCTTATCTCTCACAAATTAAGAAACATGAAGTTGGCCTTGAGCTCTTGTCCGCAGCTCAACTCAGGTCAGTTTGTTCCATGTCCAAGACAAAGCGTTGTTTGGTCGAATGGAAAGACTTTGCTCCAGCTTCATCGCTTAATTCGGTAGTAGCTTCATGTAGCGATGGTTCTTGGTCTTTGTGTTTTTCCAACCGTACGCCGTACAGTCCTATCCCACCCATTTCCGCCCCTTGACTCACGACTCGTCGGTCCTTCTCACTCAAGCCCGTACGGCCCTGAAGAGGAGGGTGGAAGGCGTTTCTGGATGGGAAAACGGCCCCCAAAGCCGCCTGGGATTCAATACAGGAAAACCAGCACCTGCGCGTTTTGTCCAATTGATTTGGGAGGGTTTGGCGAATTAGGGTGGTGCAAATCTCGTGAGCATTGAAATCGCCAGCGCTAGTCTTGAGCCACGAACTTTTGGTCAAGTTCTGACTCTATTCATTTGGACTTCCGTATTGGAGGGCAGTTGATATGAGCGCAAGGGGATTCTCTGAAGCTGCCTAGCAGGTGCGAGAGTAAACCCCAATTACCTGGGCAGAACAGCTAATTTGCCAGACCGCGGAAAGCATTTTCCATACCGAACAGTGAACAGCCCTTTTGGAAGTGCTGAACCCTATGTTGAACCCTCAGTCGTGGCAAATCATCCCAAAGGCCTTCCAAATCTCCTCAAATCTTCCCATCCCTGTTGACTCACTCCAAGCGGCAATTCAAGTGCAAACTGCCCCCCCTCCCGTGCTCCTGACCTCGAGGAGCGTCCACACCCATGTTCCTTTGGTCGCGGGGAAACCGCGTGGTTCCACGCGCACGGCGCGCGTTCCACGGGGCGCCTTCTTCAGGGTGAAGTCCATCTCCTTGAAACTGATGCCGCCGCTCTCTGAGAGGTCCCACAGCCGGAAGCTGGCCAGCCTGGTCGGCACTGGGTCGCCAAAGAAAGGGAGCCGGGGCTGCCATCCCAAAGATGACCTCATAACCGTGTCGCATCCTAAAAAGATTGATTTAAAAATAAGAGTTGTCCTTGCGTTTCGGGAAACAGAAAAAGGCGGATGGCCCTGAAGACTGCCATTTACGTCTAAGCACTTTGTCTTCTTTGGAACTGCAGTACCTACTCCATCATCCATGCTGGCGCATGTTTCATAAGAGACACTGCTCGGTCGCGGTCTGAGCTTTGGGCAGCGGGATGTGCGTCAACGCATCATCCTCGGTGAAAACGTCCCAAAAGCCCGCACGTCCAAAGGTGCTTGTCCATCCAACGTCCCATGGAAGTATCAACGAATGTTCTAGACCTGTAGAAGTTCGTAGACATTGAAATCCTTCATGTATCCCAAACACTCCATGTATGCCATATATGCCTACATTGACCCCTCAAACCACCCCAATGTAGGCATATATGGCATACATGGAGTGTCTGGGTATGCTAGCCGCCGCTCGCCCATCAGTTCGTAGACATCCGCCCACCGACCCTTCGACCCGACTGCCCCCAGCGCGCCTCGGGTCGCAGCCATTCGACCTTGGGTCGAAGCCACGCGGTTCTGCGAGCTCCCGCGATCTTCGCGAAAGCCCCACAACGACCGGCGGCCTGAGGGAGGTGTGTTTGGTACTTCGAAGTGTCAGAGGCCACACGTTGATGGCCTCTTTCATTTCGTCACCCTCTTTCGCTCCTTGGCGCTTCTTGTGGCCTCTGGTCTCCGAGTTTGGGGCACTTCGGGAAGACTCATTCGTCTCACGTTCTGGCAGTTGGGCTTGGAATGGAACAAGACCCTCGTTCAGCACGGCCCTTGGGTGAAGAGAGTTCACCTTCGTCCGTGGCGAAGAACGATCTTGCTAGTTGAAGGCAGATTGGTTCTGGGGCTGCTTTAGGAAATCACCGCCCTTGCATCGACGATTGCGCTTGTTGCGCTTCGGCTGTGGACCCAGGCCACGGCTCATGGACCACAAAACATCAATGCCAAGACCTCCGCGCCACCAAGCCGACTGATCACTCATTCTCCTCCGACCTGGGCGAACTCCTCTAAGGACCAAGCGAACTCGTTGAAACTGATCGAACCGGTCCCCTGACAGTCAGCAATGGCCCACTCCTGGCAGCGCGGCCACACGGCCCACCACGGCCCTCAACGGGGGGAGAAGGGCCGTGGTCTTCGACCCCTGAAACGGGAACTCCAAAAGGAGGCGTTTCGTCTGGCCAGTGGCTCAAAGAACCAGTGGAGAAACCAAGGAAACCGTGAAAAAAGCGATCCGCAAATACCCAAGAAAAGGAGTGGCAAAGGCTGAAAAAAGTGAACAGCCACTTCTTGCCCGCAACCTTGTTCAAGGGCCACAAAAGCCAATTCCCCAAGTTCTTTTGACAGATCCTTGTCGATCTGCTGTCGAGACATCTCCGGGAAGGCTCGCCGGAGCATCAAGGAGAACTCCTTGGGCCGCCCGTCGCGGAACCCGTGACGGTCACTCGGGCTTACCCTCGACCTTCGTTCCCAAAAAGGGGTCCTTTAAAGCTACTGAGCTGGCACACTCCTCCGGTGCTTCCACACTCCTCCGGTGCTTCCACACTCCTCCGGTGCTTCCACACTCCTCCGGTGCTGTGGCAAAGGGACATGGCCAATGCTACCTACCAGACCGCAAGTCCAGGCCGCACCGGTGGAATCACGATCACTCTTCTTCGATCGGCACCGGTGGTGGTTGACACATGTTGAAACTGAGAATGGATTGGTCGTTTTGGATCTTAGGATTCAAAAAAGGAACTTGATCGATTCCTCAACCCCCAGAGCGATGGTCTCAATCTGAATCCAGAAAAAACCGATACTCCAAACTATGACAACCAAAACAGTGTTTTACACAAAATATTGGAAACTATAATTTCAACCTTTCGTGTTTTATGGCTCTTGACTACGTAACTCTATCATATCTTGGAATGAAACACCCACCAATAAATTATTATAACTTGATTCTGGTCTTGCCTCTTCCAGCCACCGACGGCCGGACGGCCTCTTCAGCCAAGCATCTGCGCGACTGAGCTGGTTGTCTCGGTCCTGGAGTTTCGAACCCGTTTTTTCGAGGACCTTCTTGTGATCACCAGGTGTCGTTTCTACAGAGGACCGGATCACAAGGAAGCCTTCTACAGAGGATTTGAATGAACACAGAGGACCCTACAGAATCTGCAAAAGGCTTCTGATCCTCTGTGTTCATGGTGTCCTTTCTCGGCCATGCCCCCCCCGTCTCCTTGTCAGCAGCACTGAAGCTTGCCTTGAGCACCTCGGTGTCGAGTTCAGATGGTTTTGCAAAGCCGATTGGCAGAATTCGCAAACACAAATGTCTGATACTCTTTAAGGTCATGTCAATGTATAATCAACGAATGGCTTGCTCGAATCCTTTTCCCGTGTCAAAACAAAACTCCGCTCCCACACCCTCCGGCCACGCCGCCGCAGCCCGCCCGCGCTCGGAGCGCTGGGCGGTCAAAGCGCTAAGGGAGTCCAGTTGGATGGCACGCAAGGCGGGGCGCGCGGCGAGAGCTGCGCGGGCTTCCACGTCGGAATCGCTCTCTTGGCTCCTTTTGGAGGAGATCAGTCCAGGTGGGATGGAGACCTTGCTCATGAAAACAGAATGGGCCAGGCTTCTTTGTGTGGCTCGAATTCAAAACAGGTGGTGGAGCCCCTCAGAATAATATGCCCCAGAAAAATCCCTAACAGCTGGGCATCAAAACGCGCCTACTAAACAAGTTCACCAACAAGTGGCGTGCCTTTTCCAGGCAATGCGTTCTTCAGTCAAAAGAGTGAGCCTTTGTCTGCCGGCAAGTCAGCGCAACAGCACGACCCATCTTCAGCATCTCAGCGTGAAAACATGTCAGCGCATCAGCCTGACATCATGTCAGCGTGACACCACACAAGCATATAAGCGGGACAACACGAATCGGCGAACTCCTCAGCGCGTAAGCATCTGCAAAGTGTTCCAAAACTTCCACCAAAACCTCCTCCGGAAGCTCAAAGCTCCAGGGCCTCCTCCGCAGCATTCTGGAAGTTGCTCCGGATTCTCCTCCGGAACCTGATGTGTTTTGGACCCTGCTCCGGATGCTGCTCCGGAACTTGCTCCAAAACCTGCTCCGCAAGTTGTTCCAGAACCTGCTCCAGAACATGCTCTGGACCTGCGCTGGAACCTCCGGAACTTGCTCTGGAACATGCTCCGGAACCCACTCCACGACCTGCTGATCTGCTCCGGAGTCTTTACTATCCCTAAGCTTCGCTGTTGGGGAATTAAGACCTCCGCATCCATTGACAAATCCTCGCAATTCTCCTGAAGAGGCTTCGACAGGGGAGCTTCTCCCGTGGAGTTGACGCAACGGACGACATCGTGGACACTGAGCCACTTCCACAGCGCGAGGCAGGAGCGGAGCGCCGTAGCTTCTCGCTGTACGTTGCCTCCGGGAATCCCGGTCTCGATGGGGCGTTCGGTCGGATGCTGGGAAGCTGATGGGTCGGGGCCAGGGTCGAAAGCAACACCCAAACCTGGTAGAGGATCGTTCTCCGGACTAGTCCAGTGAGCTTTGTTTCGAGGAGGTCATCTACCCAAACACTGCTTCGGTGTGTCGAAGACATTTCTTGCATTTTGTCGGGTGCCGCAACGAAGGTCCAATCTTGAAAAAAGTCAGCATCTTCTCAAGCACTTAGGATCCTCAAATCGCCCTTGTTGGTTTGTTGAAAGAAGAAAATGTCCAAAGCTGGGGGGCCTCAGGGGGCATGAAATACATTGCAAATTGACAGGGCTTCCTCCATCCCGTTTGGACTCTTGTGAAATCATAGATCATCCTATTACTTTCTGTCGATGCTTTTCAGATCCACTTGCACTCATGTGACAACGGCTCCCTCGAGAATGGCTCTCTGGAAACTGCTCAACCAAAACCACACCTTCCATTGCCTTGTGAGTGAAGAGTAGTTCTTGGATCTCAAAACAGGAAAATATCCAGATCAAGCACCCAATCTCGCAGAGGAAGAAACACAAGAATCAAACGCATCGGCGTGGATATCCTCCTCGATCCTCGCGGTTCCCACGCTCGCCTCATCCGCAAAGCCCGATTGAAAGGTCTCTCGATGCTTCCAACGCCCATTGCTCTCAGTGACCAAGGGAAGCCGCCCTGGTACACGGACCTGCGACTTCGGGACAGACAGTCTGAGTGGAGATCCCATCATTCGGCATATGAAAACAGTGTTGAAAGGTCCAAGGATTAGTGACCAGTCTCATCTTGAACAGAGGTCCAGTGTTTGCTGGTAGATCATCCATTTGGGCGCACCCATGGAATATGGCTTTCCTTCGGCTTGTCTGATCTCTTTGGATTCCCTCAACCATCCAACGAGCTTCGAACGGGAAAGGCGACGGTGACAACACCAAGCAGCGAGGAAGCTCGCACGGAAGGAATCATCCTTTGAGCCCCAAAAAAGGTTCGTGTGAGCCATGAAGCCTGGCCCTGGCCAGGCCCAGGTAAGGCCCACGGTCACAACAAAAACTCCAAAAAAAACAAATCCTCGTCCCCCCCGGTCACCTCCTTCCACTTGGTGGTTCCTCGAAGGAGGGTGGCGCCACCTTCCGCACGGGCCTGGTCTGGTCCGTCGGATCGTGCGGGCCCCTGTCTAACCAGAGCCACGAAGCATTCCCTAAAGCTGGCCTGAAAAAAAGAGATTAAAAGGTTCACAACCACTTCTTCACCTGGACCATCCGACCCTTCTGGGTATGGCTGGAGATCCTGGGGTAGAGTAGGATAGTACCAGCCAGGACACCCAGACAGGATGTTCCTGGTAGTCCTAACTGGCTTTTTTCTTGCGACGGTCCCTCCGTAGGGATCGAAGGCTTTTGGACTAGCCAACTCAGCTGAAGCTTTTGGCCCATCATTGTTTGAGTCGATGAAAGGCCTTTGAACGACCCTTCCCTTTACACTCTTTGCTGGCTCAAAGTAAGAATCTGTGGTCTGTGACCGGCCAATATGAGAACATGGCAAGAAACCTGTGGACCATGGGTTTTCTCCAGCCCGATCAACCAACGGAGTCTCTAAACCCGGTCTTTCCGGCGGTCTTTCCGGCGGTCACGAACGCGCCAAGTCTCTGAGCACCGGGCTGTATACACCATGTTTTGGAGGGTTTTTTAGGCCGTATCTGTCCTCCTTTCTGCCCTGTCTTGAAACGAGACTTTTCAACCTTTTGATGATACAAGACTGTGCACTGTAAACCTGTGTGGGACATGCAAGGTTGCAAGCAGAAATGCATTCATGGAGAAAAAAGGATCGAGCATCTATATCAAGGACGGCAAAAACGGCCTTCAGTTGCTGGCTTAATGCTTTGAGCCAGCTGCCGCGAAGAAACGGTTGTTGCAAGGTGTGACGAGACCAACGGTGCAACAGGACCAAGGCCCCAAAAATAGCCTATGCACGGAAGATGAAGGAGCAAAAACTCACCCATCTTCGCCAGCGGCGTGAGGGCTGGACTCCGACTCCAAAAACAGTACCAGTACCACTTCACAAGCCGCGAATACAAACCTTCTATAGGACATGTTTGGACGGTTGATGTTGACACACACCCAGGATCCAGCTCCCCATCTCCATCTCCCAGCCGGGCTTGCGGACCAAAGAGGCTCCGCAGTGTTTCCATGGCGAAATTGCGGCGAAATCGATGTTTTGTCCAAACGGATTGAGAGATGCTCAAGGAAGACGGACGAAGATTCTTTCAAAACAGAGGGGGGATTCGGGGATTCTGTGGAACTTGCGACAAGAAGCACCCCCTTTTGACGTAGACTTCACCAAACTGCTGGCAAAGCTGATCAAGCCAGGTTCTTTAAAGAGAAGTGTGGATCCTTTCGAGCCTCCAGCTTACCGGTTTCAATGGAGGCTCCTTGCAGCCCAGAATCGCACCGTGTTTTGGTTCGACCTTCGAGGCCCAAGCTCGTGTGTGGCGCTCGCTCGTGTCGTCTCGAGCCTGATTGCCACGGAGAGTTTCATGGCGCATCGCCGAGGCTCGGCACCACCATCCAACGATCCAAAGAGGATGTGTCCGATGCCGTCCACGTGGAGGACCGCCCCTCCACTGTAGTTGGGATCCCCCAAATCCCACCAATCCCTCCTTTTGAGCGGCCTTTTGTCGCTGATCAATGAGCTCCGCCAGGTGACCGTGCCAGAAATCATCCGGCAGCTCCAGGGGACCTGGGAAAGATTGGCCCGGAAGACCTCCGTCTTCCTTCGTGAGATGGGGAAATGGTCTCCGGTACAACTCCATCTGATTCACTGCTTTTGTTTTGGTTCGGGAAGCTGGGGCATGCCTGACCTGAAATCGATAGAATGAATGAAGCACGTCCAAAATCTCTGTGAGGCTCAAAAAAGGCCAGCAAAGGTGATTGATGCCGAAAGTTGTCAAATTCAGAAGATTGTATTCCACATGTCCTTCGTGATCTAATCATGCCATCTAGAAATCCTAGCTCCCTTCATGGCCCTCTTTTTGAGTTTGCAGACATTGCCTTTGCTCTCTTCTCGTTCAATCCAACGATATCCAACGACCCCGTTCGGCAGCAACGGCGGCCAGGCGGCGCTGGAACTCCAGTTGCACCGGTGGCTTTCGCCGCAGATCGCGTTCCACCGGCTTTTGAGAGTCCACCGTTTTCAGCGTCCAGCCCGGCCGAACTCCTGCCTGGGCCAACAAAAACGCAGTAGCTACTCAGTAGCCCCACAGTGATGAGATTGATGGGACCAAAAACCTATCGGATTCTTCGGAGTGAGTGTCAAAGCCTCCAGCCTTGGTCCGGTCACTGATTCAGACCAACCAGCAAAACCCCATGTTTCTTGCAATTGCCTTGATTCATAGCCTGGTGCTCAACCCAGGTGCATCCCAATGGAAGTTTTGCTCATGCACCCACCAAATTCAGGTGAACTGCTAGATTCCTTCCTCTGGCTCTAATGGCATTCGCTTCCTAAAGGGACCTCCAAACCCCGATACCTCCAATCCCTCCCTCTGACATGCCTCCTTGGCCTTATCTTTGGGCCCAATGGATCGCACGAAGATCTCACCGGAACAGTGCCATTGGATGTCCAGGGTGTCCTGGCAGCTTCTACCCCAACGAACTAGGGGCGGAAGGTGCCAGACCATCGTCCCAACCACGATGAAGATTGATGAAGTACGTTGATCTTCGAGTCACCGAACCCAAGCATCAGATCCTTCTTCATCCCAAACATTGAGTCATCATACTTCTTCACAAAAAGGCCTACGAATGGATACAGGCGAGAAATCAACCGAATTAGGACTCTGTGTTCCAGGCCAGAGAACACATGCAAGGGTCAAGCAGCTGTGAACACTTATCACTTATCACTCATGAGAGAACTGAAAAGATTAATATGAATGATCTGGCATGCGATTCCAAAGGGTGTATCGGCAGGCCAGATCATCCATGGTATTTCTTTTATATTATTCTCTTTTAACTATAACTTGCGTCTGGCTAGACCAAACGGTACCCTCATCCGGGATGCTCTCTTGGCTAGACCCATGGGGCCCTCTCGTTGTTCTCTATCTTCTTCTATTTTCTGATCTTCACACTCATTTCGAACCGCCAAAGACTCGCTCCTCCTCCTCGTACACCACACGTCGCCGTCTCAGAGGCTTGGAGACCCGCGCGGCCTCCGCGCGCGCCTCCGACCACAGCTGCCTTGGAACGTGTCCACAACAGGAATTGTTCATTTCCCCTGCAGCAAGTTCCATAGAAAATCCCCGGTCTCCAAGTTTGGGACCGAGCGAACCCGAGGTCTTCGGTGTCACTCGAAATGCGAAGCGCTGAAACCGGGCACCGCCGACCTTTGAAGTGCACCGTCCGATTTCAACCTTGGCGGAGGGTCGGATCATCAAACTGAAGCATCAAAAAATCAGAGAGTCAAAACCTGTCAGAGAAGAAGCCATGTCTGTTTTCTTTCATAGGATTCAGTTCAAGAACCCATCTCACGTCCATGTCCGCTCAAGTCGTTACGAACATGCATCAAGCATGTCCAGTGCCTCCTTCTACCACGTCTTTTGCTCCAAACGGGTCGGCCCAAAGGATCAGTCAGCCATGTCGGTCATCCACCGCAACGACAGTCACACGGTGGATGAAAAGGCCAGCGACGGCACACGGTCTGACGGCACACGGACCGATGCATCGGTCCCAGAGATTGCTACACCCGATCGTGGTTGGCATAGATCCGAAAATCATGTCAGTACAGCCATTCATTGATGGATACAGTAGGATCTACAAGTCAACCTTCTGGGGATTCCGGGATGTCTTTGATCCCATGGAGCTGGGTATCTACTCCGCCGAAGAAGATTCAAGGCATGCGAATGCCATTCTCAAGAATTTCTGAACAAAGAACCTCCAAGGACCAGGACAATGTGGCCAGCCACCACTGTAGCTCTGCTCTTCGAAATTGAGCCTGATCCTGTTGTGCTGTTTTCCAACATCTCTGAGCCGGATGTGCTGGCATCCTCAGATGTGTGAGTACCCGTGGTGGTCGTGGTTGTGGTCGTGGTGGTAGTGGTGGTCGTGGTCGTGGTGGTCGCCACCGGGAAACCCATGGTGAACATGTTTCCGTTGAAGACCACCTTAGTCGATCCATCAGGCGTCATCGCCATCCAGCCGGACGGAATCGTGGGGTCTTCCACCCAAGTGGCACCACCGTCAGAGCTATTCATGACCTTTTCACCATGACCTTGCACATAAGCCACTGAAGCATCAGCTGTCATGACCACTTGATACCAATGGATTGAAGTGTCTGCAAGGCTTTCCACCCACGTGGCACCACCATCTGAGCTGGTCCAAATGCCGGCTCGTGCAGTGGCAGCAACCACCTGGGAGCCATCCGCAGACATGCCAACACAGTAGTATTCCTTTTGACTTCCGGAAAAAGCCCAAGTCGTGCCACCATCACTGCTGCTGGCGATACCAGGGGCATTGTCGGAGACGGCCACAATCTTGCTTCCATCAGAGGACATGGCGACATCTCTCCAGCCATACGATCCCCCGAAGTTGCTGTCGACCCAGGTGGCGCCCGCATCAGAGCTCGTGTAGATCTTGCCTGAGCCGATGCCAACGACCTTGGCACCATCAGCTGAAATGGCCAGGCTACTGGGCTCGACACCAAATCCGTGATAGTTCAGGCCTGCGTCGGTCCAGTTGGTGCCACCATCCGAAGTGATCCAAAGGCTGCCACCGCTTTGATACACACCCGCCACCATCTTGGAGCCATCGGCTGACATGGCCAAACCTCTCCAGTCTCCATTGAAGTATGGAGACCACTTCTCCATACCATTTCCGTTCCCAGTGCTGTAGTAGATCCCACCCCATGCGGCCACGGTGATCATCGAGCCATCCGCGGTGATGGCAGGGGACTTCCAGAATTTGTTGGCAGGGACGGATGTATCTTCCACCCACTGGGCATCAGACACACCCAACACCAAGTACAGCAAGGACACAATCTTCGGCATCATTGCTGTCGGGATTGCCAAGTGGCCAAGTGGGTCCCGGATGCTAATGATCCAAAAGGCATGAGCTGTCGGTGTGGCCAAGCGAGTCTAGAGTCTAAATGCCAAAAGGGTTCTATATTTTAACACTGGACTTGATGAAACACCGCGCTTCCGTCTATGTTTAGTTCTTATATTATTCATTATGTGGGCTTATTATTTTCTTTGTCTATGCTTTTTTGCCTTGTGAAGAGATCCTAGCCGATTGAAAATAATAAGCCCATTATTTCATATTTATTGGCCAGCCTATTTATATTTAAAGGCCTTATAGCGGCTGGCATTTCTTTAATTAATTTATTCATTATATCTTTTATTTATTGGTGTTTTTACTTATCCCTATACATTTTGTCCCGTCCACGAGAATGAAATTGAAGGTGAACTGGAATTAAAAAGCAAAAAAAAACTCACATGTTTATCGGTTGTATGACTACCCTCATGTTGGAGCACCACTATAACTGGGGTCATTCCATTGCGATCCCACCGTTTCTTCGCGAGTACTTCACGCAGTGAGACAAAGCTTTTGCTGAGGCTCCGGGCCAAGAGTGGAAGTCCATCATGAAGAGGTGCCAAGAGTGGAAGTCCAAAGCGTCACAACCCCCCACG